GTATGTTGCAGGGCAGATTTTGTATGGTTTTTCATAGACTCCTTGGTTTTCTAGCTGGATTTTGTTTTGGGGGTTTCTTAAGATGTTGGCTATTTTTTGGTCCGTGTTGAAGGCTGTCTTGATATTATTTTTGTGGAGAATTTTTCTGATTTTATCTGTGGTGCCTTTGATGTAAGGGAGGAGGGCGATGCCATTGTTCTGTTCTGTGTCTCAGTTCTTGTGGGGAGTCTCTCTTTGGATTAGGCTTGGTAATTGTTTTTATTTGGAATCCATTGGATATTAATATGTTTGTATTAATTGTATTAATTGTATTAATTACATACTCTCACAAACCACGCTTTAAGCCAACCTGAAGATGGTGAGTAAGAACTCGCCAAAACATTGCCAAGACAATTTCAATCTTACACGGGGAAAGACCCGAATACAACAGGATATATATTTATTTATTTCCCTAATCAATGTATTACCCATTAAGGTGAAACAGGTATATAGCCCTCCCTTATGAAAACCACACTTATATAAGTTCCAAATGGTTATGTGTATCACATGTGTTGTGAAGGAGTCTATTGCATATTCAATGGTGAATAGATACCACCACCCCTCTCTAAAAAAAGTCTAAAATTCCTTGCTTGAATGGTTCTATCAGATTACTCACAACAAGCGCTGGTTCTCCATCCTTCAAGTTCAATTCCTTTGGCTCTGCATGCTCTGACATAGGAAGAGAGGGCAGCACACATGCACTTCTCACTTATCGTACAAGCACAGGCATCAAACATACAGTTCTAGAAAAGGGAAGGATATTCTTAATCAAAAATACTTTCCATCTCATTTCTTTTTACAAGGTTGACTCAGCCGTCCATCCTTCCAAGGTCAGTAAAATGAGGACCCAGATTGTTGGGGGCAACATACTGACTCTGTAAACCTCTCAGAGAGTGCTGTAAAGAACTATGGAGTGGTAGATAAGTCTAAGTGTTGCTACTGCTATCCGACCGCTAAATTGAAATTTTACAACAAATCAGATTTCAGTAGCAATCTTTTAAGTCTGTCAAACTTCTGAAGTGCATTTAGCTGGGTGTGTCAGGCTTTGTTAGTAGAGTGATTTAATGTGCTTTCACATCATTTTGGCAATATAACACATGAGATTGAAAATACAGCTCTGTGGGTGACATTCAGTCTGTTTTTCTTCAGGAAGATCCATGAAGTGGAGGGGGTGTTTACAGAACTTTCTGCAATAACAGCCTACTGAAATTCACTAGATTCTGGCCACAAAGAACATTTGCTCACCCCTCCCCTAAAGGATGATCCTTACTTCCTACCATTGTTAATGTCTTTCCAAACAATGTTCTTAATTAAAATAGATGATCATAGTACCGTATGATATGTCCTTGGATACACAAAGGGGTGGCATTTAGCAAAAGGTCCTTCAGGGTCAGTCAGGAGTCCACACCAATGATGGGCATATTTTTCTAAAAAGAGAAGCAATACGTCTGTATCCTTTGGATCACTTCTACAAAGATACATGGCAAATTTCATCACAGATTACATTTCTAGCTTCAATGTTCACTTTATTAGCTTGCTAATTCAGACAACTATAGCCACATCTGAAAATGAGTGAAACAAACTTGAGTTGATTTACCCCATACCAGAGGAAGTATTCAGTAGGTTCTGACTAGTTCTGAAGAACCAGTAGCGGAAATTTTGAACAGTTTGGAGAATTGGTAAATACCACCTCTGACTGACCCCTTCCCCATCTATTCTATGCCTCCTGAGTCCCAGCTGATTGAAAGGAAATAGGGATTTTGTGGTAACCTTGCCTGGAGTGGGAAGGGAATGGAGATTTACAGTATCCTTTTCCTGCCAAGCCCACCAAGCCACACCCACAGAACTGGTAATAATTTTTTTTGAATCCCACCATAGCCTCATACATCTAATTCTTTTTCAAACTCTGTTTACAAGATCTTAATTTGCACATTTTCCAATTTTTCACTCTCGTTATCAATACACTGCTTGTATTCCCCCCCACCCCAATTTGGAAGATTTCTATTGAGTTTTCCATTAACAGCTATGTAGAAGAAATTGAGAAGAATTGTTTTAAATAATGGCTATTTTGAAGTAATTCTACCCACCATTTTCAGTGCTCACGGTGCAAGGATCGTTAAAATGCTGTTTAATGTTGTCACAGGAAGCTATAGTTTTCCAGGTATTAGCAAATGCAGTTGCTGTTCCTTCTATCAAACCATTTAAGGTTTTGAAGTCATCTCTCTGGTTATGGTTAAAGTTGCCACAGAGGCCTTTAAAAGGAAATTTTATAATTTGAATGATGGCAAAATAACAAAATGCACTCTCTGAACCTAGGAAAGGCATAGAATTTTGAAATATTCCTTACCACACATTCTCCCTTGGAAAGATGGATCCAGATAAATGAATAACTGTAGCAAGGGTTTAATCTGGATCACGAGCTGAAGGCCAAAATTTGTTTCCAGAATGATGAAGGAATGTGAAGGCTGGAAGATTGTTACATTAGCTATGGGGAAAGAATAAATGCCATTCTGAATAAATCAGCACTTGCAGTTCTTCAGGAGAGGAGGAGCTAAATTTTGGGTAGTCATTTGCTACTACCACATTGGTGAACTGGGACTATAGTATAGAGCTTGATTACAAAAAACAAACAAACCCTGGTATAATTACTTTTACCATGTGTTCAACTATCATCCCAATGATATGATACACACAGCACATTTCACTGAATTAGTTAAGAGTCTAGCATATTGTTTTACATGGTTGCCTTCAGCTCTTTGTCTCCCACCTATAAATTGGCTATAAACAAAGCCAGCATTAAATTTTTCTGGTTAATTCCCTGTTTCCCTGAAAATAAGACCCCCCCCAGATAATAAGCCCAATTGGGCTT